CCATCAATCAGAGAAGGAGCAGCTGCACAGAGCTTGCTCCCCACTTCACAGCCAGAAAGAACACTACCCTGAGTGCTGGATGTCATGAGACTGCAGAAGTGTGGGGAAAAGAGATTCTGGCCTCTGCCACAACCAGAGTATAGAAGCTACCAGGCAGGTGAACTGCATCCTTCCAAGTAAAAACTCTAAAAGGGAAGATTAGTGGGTGGCGCCAGAACAATCTTACACCTGCCTTCCCATCCTGTATATGGCATTCCAATGCAATCCTATACGTGTCTACTTGGAAGAAAGTCACATTGTTTTCAGTGGCACTTACTCTCAGGTAAATGTGTATAGGAGCGCAGCCTTTAAGCATAGCCTTATTATTAGAGGGCAGGCTTATCCCCCTCCAGATGACCTGAAAACCTCTCAACGTGTCTCTTTAAACGCCTTAATTATTTTAAATCTCTCTCATTAACTCTTCGGGGGTGGGGAATGGATGCAATAACTATAAATGAGTGTTCTACATTTAAAAATAATGACCCACAACATCAGCCCGCTAATCACACAGTGAGAGCCACACGCCCTTTCATCTGTTATTGGCACCCCAACTACAGTCCTAATTAAGCAAATTTGCTTTAATTTAAAATGAAAAAGATCTGGGAAAGAAAAACAGAAGTGTCAGGCTACCGGTGGCAGCAGCAGTGAAAGGCTTCACTTCGATGAGATGGAAATATGAATGAATTATCCTTATAGCCCAGCACTTTTAAATACTAAAATCATCCAGCTGCTTCTGGATCTTATGAACTGTGTCGCTGCAGCAAAAAAAGCTTTCAAGGTTTGCGATTAAAATACATGTGGCAGAATGAGTCATGGCTACTTCTCATGTTATATTTTAAAGGCTCAATCCCACTCTCAAGAGTCACTTCCTATCAATGAATTACGGTGGCCAAAGAGGATGGGGCTTCTGTACCTTTAATAGATGTGCAGAAGAAAGACTTTCAGCAGGTATAGTTTGCCATACAAGCTACACCTGCTGAAGTTCTCTCTTCTGCACAACTATTAAAGGTGAAAGGATCCTGTTATTTTTTGCATCTGGCCACCCTATGATGAATACAAGATTGTTATATGCATAGCTATTCCCAGGGTCAATCTGGACATCCATATGATCCATATACAGTAGTACCTCGGGTTACAGACGCTTCAGGTTACAGACTCTGCTAACCCAGAAATATTACCTCGGGTTAAGAACTTTGCTTCAGGATGAGAACAGAAATCGTCCAGCGGTGACAGCGGGAGGCCCCATTATCTAAAATGGTACCTCAGGTTAAGAACAGTTTCAGGTTAAGAATGGACCTCCAGAACGAATTAAGTTCTTAACCCGAGGTACCACTGCGCGTGCGTGCGTGCGTGCGTGCGCGCACACACACACACACACACACACTTAAGAGGAATTGCCCTTTGCATGTAAAACCTTTCATAACATGAGAGGGTAAATGATACTTCTTCTTCAGTAACTAGAAGAGAATTTCAATCCGTTTCATGAAAAGGAGATCACATTTGTCCACTTAATGCAGCTCTTAGAAACTGCAGCAAGAGGGCAGAGAAATCCATCCATTTGACAAAACTGGAGACCTGAGGAACCTCTCATCATCTCTCAGTCAAGCCCACCTCCCAAGATCATCATGAGAAATAGTCTCCTTGGGGAAAGTGTGGTATATTCATGTGATAAATCCTAGCAGTAGTAATCTGAAAACTGGGATGGCTAGTTGCAATCAACTCAAGCTCCATTTTCAAGCAATGATCTAGCCATGAATTGGTCAATCAAACTGACAGGTCCATGACTGTTTTCCACCCTGATGAGATTAATTGAAAACCAAGTTTACATGGTATTAGAAAAATACAGGGCAGCAGTCTAGCAGCATTTAACAATGACAGATGCTGGATGTAGCAAAGGGCTGAAGCTTCTAAATGAAGCAATCTCTAGTGTCTGGAACACACAGCAAATCAAGTCAGAAATGCTTTTCAATTGAATGTTCTGTTCAAATAGTGTATTGTCCTTGACTATCAAAGTTGGTGCCTTGACTTGCTTGTTAGGGTCGCCACAGTTCAATACAGCATCATAAAAGGCTTCCAAGCCCCACAAATTTACCAAATGCCTTTCGCATAGCAAAGCCCCAGTGACTTGAATGCTCGAGTGGCTGTGTTGCAACTAGAGAGCGTTTGAAAGATTTTCAAGGGTGCAGAATACAAAAGAAGGAAGGCTGCCCTGTGCATTTAAATTTAAAGCAGCGCACATATCGCTTGAACAGACATAGCTACTGTGATTAGCGAGACAGAGAAAGAGAGCAGTGCATATTTCACAAACCGGCATCTACAGGCTCAATGCCTAGCAATAAGCTGCCTTTTAAGCCAACTGATATCTAGTAACTTTTTAAAGCAGACACACGCACACACAGATTCCTTTGTGCAAGCCGTAAAAAGAAAGAAGCCATAAAAAGAAGCAGAAAGGGGTTGGGAACAGAAGCTCAGGCACAGATAAAACAATGTCTCTGGAATTCAGAAGGACATTAGGTTTGATGGAGGGAATTTGACAGGCAAAGAGAGGGTGCAGCATTTCAGATGAGGTTCTTTTTCAACCATTGCCTTTATGCCACCATAAATGCAGCAAGCCGATGGGCTGAGATGGGGTCATTAAAGCCACGGTGTCGACTCTGAAACTAATGTCATAGCAAAGGAGCTTTGTCAGTTCTAACACTTTGATTCTTTCCTTCATTTGTTGCTAGGTCCAACTTCAGAGTTCTCCCTTTTGGACCTTCATGTCACTGTGGTACAACCCTCTTCCCCAAACGCCCCTCATGAGATTCATGAGTTAAGTTGTCTGCAAAGATGAGGCTAAAGCAGCTTGCTTTGCTTTCATTCAGATTTAGGCAAGTTTGGAGAAGCCAGGAAGTGGGTTTGCTTATCCATCACAATGGGTTTGGGAATTGCTGATGGCAGGAGAAGAGAAGAGGAACAGGGTAAGGTCCAGAGAATGAAAAGGCCCCAAAGCAATCCTAGCTGCATTTTGTTACTTGGCACTATTGGCCCTTGATGGGGTTGTGTATCCTCATCTAAAGGAGGCTGAGTGAGCATCTGTATTCAGATGGACAGAATAGCCCGAGCTTCAGGAAGAGTAAAGGTGTGTCCTGACTGCCCTGAATGCGGCACACATTCAGGCACATATCATAGATCTAGGTCTGCACAGTTCATGGATCAAAGGGCTCTGTTGCCCTAGTACAACTAATCCACTTTAAAAGAGAAGCAGACTTGTTGCGGTTAGGAAAGTGATGGGGAAACACATTGAAAAGTGTGAGATGTGTGAATGTCTAATGGGAAGATGCACAATGGCTCACCACAACCAACACCTGAATAAAAGGATGAATGCTTAGTCATCTAAGTGCACTGCAAACAAATTGGAAAGTATTCTGAAGACAGTCTAAACTTCACATAAGCTTTTTGTCAGCAAACCAGGATGAATGCACAATATATAGGCCATCTGGAGAAGCCCCAAGAGCTAGATGAAGAAGACCAACAGTTGGATGAGCACCAAAAGCCTATAAAATGGCCAGCAGAGTACAATTGACACAAGTCAGTCCAAAAAGGGGAGACAGTGAAGGGGACTCTGGTGAGCTCTGGGCCAATCCTCCAGATGTGAGAGGTTGCATCCATGCAAAGGTGGATAGTGTCCTTGGTTTTTTTAGTGAGATTTTGAGGGATACAAATTATGTGGCCACAGAATCACAGCCAGAACCCAGGCCCAAGTGTAAAATAGCTAGCAACGAATTCACCAAGCAGTGACTTTCTTTCACATTGCACCCCTCTGCAAATCCATCTGACTTTCCGCATTTGCTTCGAGTGATGAAAAGGCAAAACAGAAGGCCAGATGCACCACATTCCCTTCCAGCACTGCATGGCTGGAGGCACAAAGAAACCCAAAATAGCAGGTTGCTTCAAGGGTACACTTGGTGACGTTCAAAATTCACGTTTAGCCTTTGCAAGAACACATGCTGCCAATCAATCACTCATTTGCAGCAGACAGAGTTTTGCAAGGAGAAAGGCAAAATGTGTGTGTGTGTTGCTGTTGTGTGTAAATGTGAGAAAACAGGGGATAGGAAAACTGGGAAGCCAAGCCGCCATTTGCACACACACACTGTCACACACACAAATATTGTATGGTTCAAATGTCAGAAGTGGCACAGAACTCAGTGCAACAATACATACAGCAGTCACCAATCCATCAGTAGCAGCGCATGTCAGGAATGGGGAGGTAGAGCTGCACTTCTGATACTGGTGTCACTGCTGGTTATCTGGACAGGATGGAGTCATGGCAAGACTGGGGCAGGATGAGTGTGCAGGTGGGAAGTATGCCACCAATCTGGCATTCTCGCCAGTGCATTTGCCCCAGCCCTGCCTGGATAATCAGCAGTGTCAAGATTATTATTACTATTATTAATAATACGAATAGCCTGCCTTTTCTCCAGAACAGGACTGAAGGTGGCTTAAATTACACAAATTAAAACAACACAAAATGCTTAAAAGCATAAAAGACAATTGTTAAATAGTAATTACACGCCAATAGAGGATAGCTCTGCAGCTCCACCCAGAGCTCCAACTCGGTCAGATAGGCAGCATATTATTATTATTATTATTATTATTATTATTATTATTATTATTATTATTAGCATGGCAACAAGGATCTTTGCATTTTGAAAACCTTTTCGCATGTGCGTCCACAGTGCGGTGCTGCTAGACACTGCTTAGATAATTATAAAGGGTCACAGGCAAAAGGTTTCTTACTTCAACCACTGCTACTGTGGTGGTTCCAACTGCTACCCGCTCCCTTACTGACCTCTTTGGCCACGGAAGTTGGAACTAATTTTGTGAATGCTTTGTCACCATAGCAGCCACTTCCCAGGGAATGTAGTGTTGCATCCGACAGCACCTGAAGCAACTGGCTCATATTCGATAATGTTCCTCACCTCTCCCCAGGAAGCAGGTGGTGGCTCCACCGGAGGGAAATATTTAGGGACATCCCAAGCCACCGCAGCCATGAACCACTTGAAGTCCTTGCACTTCAGGTGCTTGCGAAGCTCTTTCTGGGCCGAGATATCGCCGGTGGAGAGGTGTCTGTACTCGGGCCGCCTCTGGTAAACGTACTCTGCGAATTCATCCATCCACGTTTCTGCCACGCGCTTCAGGTTCTGAGCAGCAGAAAGCAAGAGTCACTCATCTCTTCCCGCTTAAGTATTAGCACTGATAACACACACACACAATTACAATACGCCATTCCCTTATCTAGCTTTGGATGGTTGTGCATTAAGCAAATGGAAGCCTTTTGCATTCAATTGCTATTAGGAGCCTGATAAAAGTCAGACTGATGGCTTCTCTCTTCCTTTAAAAAAACAACAAAACCCCCCGCAGAAACTTCAGTGCAATTACTGAAAGGGATTTAATTAACGAGATACAGTAAAGGCTCACTTAATTATTTCCATGGAATCTTACTGCAGATATCTCTCTTGCTTGTTGCTTGATTGCCTGAGTTGATTTTCCACATCATTTCCATTTGGAAATACGTAGGAGTTTGAAGTTCTTTCTAAAGAGATAATGCTGAGTATAATCCGATGTCCTAACATTCCCCCTTAAAAGCCCAATATATTACTGGGCTTGCAAAACTAATATCTGGAGACAGACTTCTGTTTTGCCTCATCAACACACTGCTAACTTGTTGTCAGCGGCGGAAGAAGCTGCTCAGGCGCCTGGAGCAGCTCGCCGAGGGGCGGGGCAAGCCGCCCATAGGGGTGGGACGCACCACAGGGCCTCTAGAGTATGCCTGCCTCCTCCCACTCAGCCGCCCTACAGCTGGGGGGGGGGGAGGCAGCAGGCAGACCGTTTGGGCAGCTCAGAGCCTGTGCGTGCCCAAGCCACCACATCTCTCTCAAGAGAGACGCGTGGCTTGGGAGCACTGCAGGCCCTGCGGTGGGTGCCATTGTGTCACCCCCTCAGTGGTGACACCCGGGGCGGCCCGCACCCACCGCGTCCCCCCTTCCACCGCCTCTGCTTGTTGCTACAAGTGGGAGCTGAAATAAAATGTTGCAGTGTGGATTGCTCCTATTCAGGGCTCCTGAATCATGCTCTCTTTTCCAGCAGGCTCCATATTATTTTATCTCCAGTCTAGGAAGGGCTCTACAAAAACTGGGGTAGCTCAGTATGTAGAGCATGAGACTCTTAATCTCAGGGTCTTGGGTTTGAGCCCCACGTTGGGCAAAGGATTCCTGCATAGCAGGTGGTTGGACTAGATCAGGGGTCTGCAACCTTTAAGACAAAAAGAGCCACTTGGACCCGTTTTCGAAGAAAAAACAACAACTGGGAGCCGCAAAACAAGCCAAATGTAAATAACCACACATTCTTCCCCTTCCCCCATTCTCTCTCTTTTCCCTGAGTCTATTTCAGATAGCAAAGAGGGGAATGGTACCTCTCATATCCATTTTTTGCAAAGCACCATGTGCATAGAGGGCATTATACAAATTAATACATAGAAAAGTGTCTGTCCCTCCCTGCAGTTCAACTCCCTCTCTTTTTACTAACAGCACGTATCCATTCCTTCTGCTGGTGCAACTTTCTCATCATTTCTACATAGCAGCATTTATAAACCAGTGCCAGAGAAACTGGGTGAAAGGAAGGTGAGAGGGAAGAGATATGAATATTTATGTGTGTATATGTATACATACATACACCTACACAATTACAGGTTTGAAGCCAACTTAAAATAAAAAGAGCTGGTAAGCAAAGGAATCTGTGGTGCTTTCCATGGGACCAGGGGACATGTCAGCTAATACTCTTCCCTTTCTTCTTCATTTGCTTGTCTCTGCAGCAAATCTCGAGGGGGAAGGGAGAAGGGCAGGAATTGCATAGGCACGAGAGAACGGGGAAATCCCGCATGCAGGATTTTGGTGCCTAACAGCTCCCCCTCCCTCTGCAATTGCTCTCGTGCTCCCCCGCCTCTCCTGCTGGCTACCTCTGGACCCCCTCCTCCCTCAACTCGGTGGCCACTCAGAAGCAAGGCACAGAAAAGGATCCCGAAGCACCACCGCCACCCCTCTCTCTCTCTCTCTCTCTCTCACACACACACACACACAAACCCCACCCCGCCATTTCCCTCGAGCGTGTGTGCGCTCTCTCCCTCGCCTCAGGTGCCTCGCGTGCGGGGCTGAGGAGAGCGTGGCCTGGGTGGGCGGCTCTCAACGTCAAGCGGCGCAGCGCGCGGGGCCTGAGGGCGGGCGGGCTGCTGCGACCGACGGCGAAAGGGAGCGCGCCTGCTTGTGGACGCGCCCGTGTGTGGCAGGTGCCAGCGGTGGCAGTGGCAACAGTGTCCACCTGAAGGGAGAACCGCCGCTGCGCCCTGGCGCGCCTTCCTGCCGCCGCCGCCCTCCTCCTCTTCTTCGCTCCCTGCACCATGAGGGAAGAGGCGCCCCGGAGCCGCAGCAAAGGTTTAAAGGAGCCACATGCGGCTCCGGAGCCGCAGGTTGCCGACCTCTGGACTAGATAATCCCTGTGGCCCCTTCCAACTTTTCAATTATATGATTCGTTGTGTCATTTACTGAATTACCTGCAGCTCACCTCTAATCTGAAGAAGCACCCACATGTTCTAAAAACAGGAGGTTGCAAGCGTTACTCTAGTATTGTTGTTTCCTTTGTTTTCTCCCCACTAGATGGAAGTACATTTTCATATTTTATTTTTCTCTTTGATCAGACTCCCGA